GTAAAAGGATATGGGAAAGCACGCCTACCTTGATGGTCTTGAGATGCTGGTCGAGCTGCTGTCCAGACCTGGAGGGCTGATCAGGCGGCCTGGTCTCTCGTGGCTTCGGTGTGGCTTGTGAAAACAAAATGGCGGCGCGCTGCGCGGTATAAAGTCACTAGCTTGCCGGCAAGGCACGATTTAACACTCAGCGGACAATGCGGTAGCGTGATCCGAAGACACTTGAACGCTGCGCGTGTTATTCCAATATTTTTGGTTTTTAAAGTTTATATGAGATGCGGTAGCGGAGAGAAAAAAAACAACGTAGGGTGTGTCTCGCGTCTCGAACGTCACCGAACTGTCTCCTTTTAGCGGCGTGCGTGCGGGATGTCGATATATGATCAAGGGATTGATAGGTGTCGACAGCCTCACCTAGCGGGAAATTAAACTAAAACTTAAAGAGTTCCTTTCTCTATGGACACGTGGCGTTACCAATGGCCACTGCCACGTTTGCTCTCTCCTGCAAAGACACTGGTGTGAGGGGGACGAAACTACTTTCTACCGGTTCCCGAATCTTCTGCAGGAAATCCACAATCTCCTCTTCCGCTGCGCTTTCGCCCTCCGCTTGGACCCATCTATAGGCTTCCGCCTTAGAGATGACAGAGCCTGACGGTGCCGAGATCGGCGTGCGTGGCCTCCCTCTACGGCTACTACCCACTTTGGGAGGCAGCATCACCTAGGACGTATCACTCTCTTCGTCTCTGGAGCGTCCGCGTTTCTTGCTATCGCAGAGCTCCATCTCCATCGACTCCAATGCGTCCATTGTCGTACTGGAGTTATCTCCGTCCGACGGAATGGCGGATCTGGAACGTAATCGTTCTGATATTCATCGGCTCCAAGCAGCTAAATTTACTTCTGGGAGCCCTACCGAGATAGGAGTCCCAAGCAAAACTTCCTCCTCGTTAGAGGAAAAGTCATCCGCTTTTCTTGTCTTTTCCTTCCTTTTTGTTTGTTTTTATTGATACTGTTTCCATATTTAAACCCACGAGTGGGGGAGAAATAAAAGTCGACCCGGGCAGAGATCCCCCAATACCCGGGCAAGCGTAAATTTGTGCCCAACCGAGGGGTCCGCAAGTACCTCGGCTGGGAGTGCGCTTGCAACTGAACTACCCATCAGCCATGCATCCCCTGGCCACGCACTAGAACACGGGATTCGGAGTAATGTTTTAAAGAGGTATTCTGCCTCAAAGTCCGGGCGACTAAGCCAAGACCCTTGCCCCCGATTAGAGTCCCGAGACATAACCACGATACTCCTTTCGGGATTACGATGTGCCAACGGTTGCAAGGAGACACAGTCCCCGTAGCTTGCTCGGTGGCACTGTAAGTGCTCACCGAACCCGTCGTCGTTCCTCCACTTCGGACAGTGGAGCAACTATCGGTGACCCAAGAAGGGTCCCACCGAGTATCCTTCTTAGTCTGGAGTCTCCTTCTGAGCCAATCCGGCATTCGTGACTCTACCGGCATAGCCTCAGAGATCACTGACCAGCACAAGCCCCCCCCACGACGTCAACGTGAGGGAAACTCCTTAAAGCCCCGCCCCAACCATTTAAAACCTTCACCGATTTTAAGACGATGCATACTTTTAACAATATAATCACTGAAATCCCAAAAAAAACACGTACCAACGTACAAGAGGAGTTCTTAACCAGCTACGGGTATTTCATTTAAACGATGAAGAAAAAGATTTCAGCTTTTTCAGTTGTGTTCGTACTTTTGCGATATCTTCCACTTACCTGGGGAATATTTTTATTTTATTTTTTATTTATTTATACCATACTATACATTATTATTACAGCTAGACCAATACATTAATGTAAGACTTACAAAAAAAAAACAAAGAAATCTATGAAAAAATACGTAAAAAATTATAATAATTAAGAACTAGAACTACTCAGTACGCAATATATGGCCTTTGTGAACTCATTGAGCGAACACGAAAAACGTCAAAATGATCCGACAGTTCCGACACCGCATTTAGCGCACGCAGCGCGCGCGTAAACGTCACGTAATTGTTGGGCACACAAAGTGAGATCTCCTGTAGGATAGCTGGGTTGTGTATCAATCCACGTAACACTTTAAATACGTACGTGGCTAAAGCTACTTCTCTCCTCACTTCCAGCCTGTAATATCCCACCATGCCATAAACAAACAGTGTGGGATACAACAATGGATACCCTGGGTACACACCGAATACCTTCAAATATAAAAACCTAATAAATTTATTTTGTACGCGTTCCAACATTACTTTATATTCGATTTGATGGGGAGACCAGATAGAAGAATTACATTCCAAGTGACTTTTAACTAATGCCTCGTACAAGGCTCTCAGTGCTGCGATGTTCGTAAATTCATTTGCGTTCCTTAGAAGAAACCCGAGATTACGATAACCTTTTTTACAAACATCCTGAATGTGCTTACCAAAATTTAAATCTGGGCTGAAACGAACGCCCAAATCCCTGACCTCGTTAATCCGCTGGAGAGGCGATCCCTGCATGTGGTACTGGTGGTATCTTACTTATACAAATCACTTCAATCACAAAATAAAAACAACAACCAATATCCCTATTCATATAGTACAAAATCATATCGCTTCCCAGAAACCCATAAAAGCGAGGTTAAAAAACAAATAGACGAAATGTTGGAACAAAACAGACGTTGCTGGCCTTCAGGGCCCCCGGCCATACTGGGCACCCGTAAAGAGCCATGGACCGCACAACCCCCGAGTAGAGTCTCCTGCAGTAGTCATCGGGGTCCCTGCCCACGCGCTGCCCCAACCAACTTGGGGACAAGACCTTGGAAATGATATCCGAAGTCCCATCGGCCATCGAGTACGAGCCCCAGACACCTGATCGAGGGCTCGATGTCGATGCGAGTGCCTCCTACCGTGAGGCTAGATCCCTCAGGTGGCTTCCTCCGAAGCCCGTGGAAGAACAGGGCCTCGGACTTGCCCTCAAGACTATATATATATATATGCCCCGACTATGCGGCGGAGGTAGAGAGGCACTTCGTGATATACGAGCGCCTCCCTGATGCAGATCCAGGGCAGAGTGTTGACTGATTGCGGCTATCATGCTGAGCGAGAGTGCGTGGAACTTTGCCGTCTCCTTCTGCGAGCAAGTTATGCTCGCGAAGGAGACGGCGGAGCGGGACCGGGAGAGGTTTAGGACTCTCTCGGCCCGCCAGGCCCGGGAACGGGCCAGGTACCGCAGACGACTCAGGCGCCGGAGGTCGCAGAACGACGTCCGTCCTCCATAAGCGAGGTCCACAGGTGAGGCCATCTGTCACCCTAGCAGAAGCAGGCCGGGATGGCGGCGAGCGCGTTGCGAAGCGCGCTCGCTTCCAGGGAGCACAGGGAACATGGGGTTCCCACACGGGGGGGGGGTCGTCTACACGTCTGTAGATGACCCGAGGTATGTCGGGGCACCAGGGACTTCCTTTCTGGGGTATACCTGGTTCCCCGGCTATTAGTACCCGAGACGGCGTGCGGTTTTAGTCGGTTCGAGTCCGACATGCCACCGACAGGTGGTATCCGAGGGGATTTCCGCACGGAAAAAAAAAAAAAAAAAAGGGCAGAGTGTTGAACGCGTTGACGATGTCCAAGGACACCGCCAACACCACTTCGCCCCGGGAAACTGCTTCCTCCGCCAGAGCCTTCACGCGCATGATCGCATCCACGGTGGAGCGCCCCGTACGGAAACCGTACTGGTTGTCCGCCAGATCCGGCCCCACCATCACGAGATACTTGACGAGGCGCCTTGCAATCACTCTTTCAAAGAGCTTGCACACCTCGTCAAGTAACACTATGGGCGCCCCTCCTTTCGGATGAGGACCAGTTTCCAAGTCTTCCACAATTTCGGAAACTGGCCCCGCTCGAGGCATGCGCTGAAGAACCCTCGCAGTCGGGGCTCGAGAGCCTCTTCGACTAGGGCCAGGACCCACGCTTGGCCAGGAATGCCATCGGGTCCCGGGGCGGTGTTTTTAGCTTTAAGCCGTAACACCGCCACCCTTAGTTCCACCCCAGTGACCTCAGGCACATCGTCGTCATCCACGTTAGGCGCTTCAAGCGCCGGAGGCGGAGCCATCTGTGGCGGAGTATGCTCCACCACTCGCGTTGGGAACAGGGAGCCAACGACACTCTCAAGCAGCTCTGGCTGAAGACACCGGGTGAGCGGCCCATGGGCGCATTTTGCCCCTAACCATACGGTAGGGGCGTCCCCACGTATCTCGCTCCAGTGTCTCCAGCATCTCGCGGCGGGCCTCGCTCTTGGCCCGCTTTATCGCTGCCTGAAGGGTCCTCTTGGCAACCCTGTACCCCTCTAACAGCTCCGCCTCTCTCGCTGCCGCATCTTCGGGGCGGCGACGACTCCTGCGGAATCTGGACCACTGACGGACACGCAGGCTTGACGCAGCCATGCGATCTCCGGCGACCACCAGTCGACCCGGCGCCTCGCAGTATTGGGCTGAGCCCTAGGCATCGCCGCATCGCAGACGCGGGTCATGGCCTCCCGGAACCACTGTGGCTCAGCATCGACATCGACAGGCCTGTCCGGCGCAGGGGCCCAGGCCTGTACGATGGCGGCTTCCAGGAGGAGGTCGCGATCTAAGCGCTTGAGCGCCCAACGTGGTTCAGGTGGCGCCGGTCTGACCGGCGCGCCATCCGTAGGGGCGGAGACGTGTCCTATTTTGTATGTATAGTTTGTATTTGGTGTCGAGTATTGTAATAAAACTTCCAATATACGATGACACGTCCGTTTAATATATCAGTCAATACAATACTGAAGTGCCGTAGGCACAGTACATCCCCCTAATAAAAAAATTGGTTACAAACATAACTTAAAAATATTAGTTTTATTAGGTGTTAGGTTAATATTGCGATTACACTTTGTTCAAACACTGTCCAAGTTCATGCAATTGTTTATTAATGTCATTTGTCAGCACTTATTTAGACACACGTCACAACACTATATAATCACTCGCGACGGTGTTGGAGGTGCACGGTTGGTTACGCATTGAGCATCGCTGCGCCTGTCGACCATCGGCAGGTCCTGGAGTTCTCGTCTCATGTAACGAGCGTAGCTGACTTTGCAGCGTTTCCATAGTAAATAAAGCATTGCTGCCAGAATACATATGATGATAAACAACAAATAGAACTCGTATTTACTGTATGAATATTGGTTCTCTACGGCCGAAGCCGCCGCGCCGTTGCCCGCACCATTCTGGGCTATCACAATTTTTTCTTCTTGTGGCCTACTTTGTTGTTTACCCATTGTTCTGGACAAGTTTAAAAATACGATATCAATGATGATATTTAATATATTATGTGTTTATGTGGCGAAGCGCACGACAGGTTTGATAGTTCGGCCGAAGCTCGACACTCTCGGCTCATTGTTTACATTATAACTTGCCATATTTGATATCTTCGAGCATGTCTCGCTGTTGTTAAGTGCAAGGCTGGCTTCAATCGATCTATACTAACTATTTTAATACTAATAACTAATAACTATTTAACATAATTTTATAAAAAAAATCCGTTTTGATGATAATTTTGAACGGCCCCATGCAGGGTTGTGTTAAAGGTTTTGTGACCTTATCAACACGAATAAATACATGAGTGCAGTCTTTAAGATCTGGATGGACGAACATTTTTCCTATTGTTCGCCTTTTTGGGCACTGCTACTAAATTTGATATCTTACTACGTAATTCTTGCAAAAATAAATTGTTGTCAGAAGTTTCCCGCTTTATAGGCTCGATGAACCAGACAAACTTAAAGGTTCTCCAAACACCATCTCCGCCGCACTAATCTGCATGTCGTTTCTCATACCAGCTCTTAATCCCAGAAGAACAGATGGTAATTCTGATACCCAATGTTCCGTGTTTCCTCGGTTCGGACATAAGTGCGGTTTTAAGCGAGCGATACCATCTTTCCACAAGACCATTCGGTTGCGGGTGATAAACAGTAGTTCTAATCTTATTAATACCCAGTCTTCTAGTTAATTGGAAAAACAAAATTGACAAAAAGTTAGATCCTTGATCGGTTGTCAAGTATAAAGTTCCAAATCTCGCAATCCATCAGGTGTAAATAATATCCGCTATAGTTTGGGAGGTTATATCCTTTACAGGAATGGCTTCAGGCCACCCGGTGTTCCTATCTATCATTGTTACAATATACCTATAACCGCTGCTATAAGTTAAAGGACCCACAATATCCATGTGGAGGTGTTCAAATTTATCACTATGTACAAATGCCCATGAGGTGACACAGTATGTCTATGTAATTTAGATTATGATTCCGGTTCTGTTCCATTTCTCTTATTTTTAGGCTCAGCTTAGCTATTTCCGCTAAAATAAAGCTATGATCGGCACTAGAACTGCTTGACGTGGCGTGTACTTCTGCCACTTGCAATGGTTGCGTGGTCTCCATGACTTTATCCGCAATAGCCGATATATGTTCTAAATCCTTCACTTCACTGACCGCCAACACTCCTCGCACCGTAGAAGGCAGGTGTCCCTGCCACATAATGCGTAGAGTGTCATCGGGTATTTTATCGCGAGCCAAGTCCCTCATTCGACGCAGGAGTTGAGATGGCTTCTGATCCCCCAGCTCCATTTCCCCTAATAGCTTTTGAAATTGTCTGATTTCCGACTCTTCATACATTTTTAATAAGCGCTCTTTAAGAGTGTCAAACTTCTTAACCTCGGGCGGCTTGAGAAAAATGTCACTGACCGGTTGCACTACGTCTTTACCTAGTTTCGTCATGACTAAATTTTATCTGGCCTCGTCGCTGAGCTTCTGTGGTCCCAGTATGGCTTCACACTGCACATACCAAAGGCGTGGTTGATCGCACCAAAACTTGGGAATTCTAGAAGACACTGTACTTTGTGTGCTTTGTATAGACCCCCCGATCTGGATAGGACCCAATTCGTAGCGGAATTAGTGCGCACAACGGATCAATTCCCACATAAAAATAGCTTAATAATTTTAGGGGATATGAACATTGCACCAGGGACTTCCTTCCTGGGTATACCTGGTTCCCCGGCTATTAGTACCCGAGACGGCGTGCGGTTTAAGTTGGTTCGAGTCCGACATGCCAGGTGGTGCTCCGATAGGTGGTATCCGAGGGGATTTCCGCACGGAAAAAAAAGGGGATATGAACATTGACTTAAAACAACATTCATCTATAGCTAAATTGTATACTAATTCACTCGGAGAGCTAGGCCTAGAAACCGGAATAAGCCAGTTCACTCGGATAGATAAGAAGGGTGAGTGTATCACAAGAACATGTATAGATCATGTATATGTACGTAGTATCGACCAGCAAGCGGTGCACACAGCTGTTGTAAACAACACGCTCACCGAACACTTCATAACCGGTTGCGCGTTAGTTAACAATACGATTGTCAACAAAAATACGCAATATAAAATTGTCACGAAGTTAGATAATGAGAGGGTGCGTAGTGAGTTGTGTAAAATAAATTGGAATTTAGCTATGGAGTACGATAACCCGACAGATGTATTGAGTTACATATTGGAAAAAAAATCATATTTTTTTTCGTTTATAAAAAGTGTAAATAAAGATAAAAATTGAGAAACAAAAAACGAGATGAATTATTGAATATCTGGCTTAAAGATCAAAGTAATTTGCAAAAAAGATTATTGTATAATAACTATAATAAGTATAGAAATTTAACGAATAAACATATAAATAATGTAAAAAATAACTATTTCTTGACAGAGATACAGAGTAGTTTTCATAATTCTCGTAAAGTTTGGCAAATCATAAACGGGTTGTGCGGTAAAATAAATAACTCGATTGATAACATAATTACAAAATATTTCAAAGCATCGCCCGATGTGATTACAAACATATTTGCTTATGAATTGCAAAGTAACGTGAATAGCTTGTGTAGGCAATGTTACACGCCAATTCTCAATCCTGTAATTTGTAGCAAAGAATGCAATGTATCAATAAGGCTACATAAAGCTACAAATGATGTAATCTTTCCTATTATAAATCTATTAATGATGTAATCTTTCCTTCCTTTCTTGTAATGATGTAATCTTTCCTATTATAAAACATTTAAATGCCAAAAAATGCCCAGGCTTCGATGGTATAAGAGTGCAAGATTTGCAACATATTATCAATAAAATTACCCCGGTCATTACGCACTTAATTAACACATGTATTGCCACGTCCGTATACCCTGATCAATTGAAAGTCGGAATAATAAGACCTATTCACAAAAATGGTTCATATTTAAATTCAAATAACTACAGGCCAATTACTATATTGTCATGTATAGATCAAATAATTGAGATATATTTAGGCCAGGAGATAGGTAGGTTTTTAAAAGAAAATAGTATAATTAATGTAAAACAATTTGGTTTTCAAAAAAATAAAAGCACCTCTGAATTATTATCCCAGTTTAGCAATGAGAGTAACGGGTATCTGGACAACCGTGAACATGTACTTGTTGCCTTTATTGACTTCAGTAAAGCATTTGATTTATTAGATTATAAAACCTTATTTACTAAATTAAAGCATAATGGTATACGTGGACCTTTAATGAATTGGTTTGAGAATTATCATCGTAATCGTTACACCGCAGTAAGTATCGCTGGCTCTCTAAGTGATATGATTATAACCGACAAAGGCACGGCACAGGGTTCGATTCTTGGGCCAACCGAATATTTGTTATATGTAAACGATATGTGTGATATATTCACTGAGGGATCGGTGTATCAGTTTGCTGACGATACATGCTTGATATCTGCGCATAAAGACCTACGTGAGGCGCAGAGGGTTATGCAGCGCAACTTTGATCTATTGTGTAGCTGGGCCCACGATGTGGGTCTAGTGATTAATGCACAAAAAAACTAAAATGATGCATATACATTCACCTTATTTGACATCGCCTTGTGAGCCTGTCATTGTTGCTCATGAGCACTCGTGCTTACATCAGACGGGAACCCTACGCAGTTGCCAATCATTAGAGTTGGTGTCTCAGCATATGTCTCTGGGTCTTACGATAGATAATAAATTCCACTGGGGGCCCCATATTAATAACGAATGTAGTTAACTAAGATCCTTTCAATCCAAATTATATGTACTAAAATATAAATTACCTTACAAAACACTTAGAATCATGTACCTCGCACTTGCCGACTCCGTGATTGGCTACGGACTAGGTAGATATGGGCGCACGTACAAGACCTACCTCGAAAACATTTATAACATACAATTAAGCATCTTAAAAACAATAGTACCTACAAAAACTAAACTACAATTTAAAGAAGACGAATGTGGCCTATTTAAACACTGTCAAATATTAAATGTTTTCGATAAAGTGAGCGTATGTGTACTAGATGAGGAATACCACAACCTTGCTAAATTGAAGAAAAATATAAGATTGGAGTCACTACGTCACTTGTCATACCTACCTACTTATAGAACACCTAAGCATACTAATGTATATGGGACGCGGACGTGGGAACACATGCTGCCCCGTATAATGAACAACATACCTATCGAAACCTGTAGCAAGATGAATACCGTAAAATGCTGCAACTTTGCCAAGTAAACTCAACTTTACCTATTTTGTTTCAATTATGATATTTCACATTCGCTTAGTTTTTTATTATTTTCTACCATTTGGTAGTAACTTAACATTATTAGGGCAACATATTTTTAATTTTTTACAATAGTAACTTCATTGCTACGCTGCCAGTTGTGCGACAAACACCGGCGCGCGTGGGTGAACGTTTTTAGTGACCTATAACTTTTGCAGTTTCAACTAGAGAAAAGGTGTTTTCAAGCAGAGAAAACGTTCCAAGGTAAGAAAATACTGTCTATTTTACGTATTGTTTGATATTTCTATGAAAAGGATACCATTTCATAGAAATAACTTAGTAGGCAATGTTGTGCACTGTTTTGGAAAGTAGAGTGACACAACTTTGCTTGGGTCTAGGGTTGTCTCTTGTCAAATTTATTAATTATTGTTTTATAATATGATTTCCTTGAATCTCTATTTTTATACCGACGATCAAACAGAAGACAAATCAAAAACGATTTAATGGCTGATAAAAAATCTGAAATTGTGCCTCTAAGGCAGGCGTCGTGTTACGTGTAGCTAACGAACGGCAGCTTAAGAAACTGGAATCTGTAGACGCCATTTAATCAGTAGGTTTACGATTAGAAAAACCGAAAGGCCGAAAGCCCCGTATAATTGTAAAAGACGTACCCGGTACTATGGAAGATTGTGCCTTCC